TTTTTTTTTCTTTTTAATTGTTTGCTCTCTCATTCTCTGCTGATACTTCTCTTGCTGATTGTACCTGTGGGAGCTGAAGGCCCTACAGCTGCTGATAAAGTGCATGTGTGTGCATATGTACGCAGGTGCTTTTGGTTGTGTTTTGTTTGTCTGTTTTGTGCGATATTTCATTTAAACATAAAAATTCTGTCTCTTTTTTTCCTCCCTGTCATTTCTCTGCTCTCTCACTCTTTCTCTCTGTTATGTGGTATTGTACAAGTCCATGTGTTTCAGCCCTGTGAGTGGCAGCTTCAGCTTCAGGCTAAGGGATCACCTCTGGCTGGAGCTCCTTGCGATCACTCAGGCAGAGCACCAGGTCTCCCTTCTCAGGCCTGGATCAGCATCTCTAAACAGTCTAAAGTCTGCGTGTGTTGCCAATGTAGACATACAGTCTGATGTTTTAGGTTTCTAAAAAATTCAAAGCAGCTGAATGTAGGCACTGGCACATTTACTGCTTCTTGATGCCACATTTTTTGCACTTAAGCACATTTTATTTTTATGCACAATTGTCTGTATAAAACAATGTTAGCATGCTTCTTCAGCACATGGACTGACTTATTAGGCAGTTTTGCTCTGACTGCATGCTGTGCAGCCTGCTTAATCGCTGAGCCTTGTTCTATTTTCCAAAGGGAGACACCAAAAGTAAACTTATGCAATTATACACAGTACCATTCAAGTCCCTCTTCTGCAATATTACTGTAGAAGTGCTGAATTTTGTTATTGCATGCTTTCTGTGTTTCTTGTTGCATCAGAAAATGCAGCGGATGGTTATTTTCATAAAGCCCTGCAGCTTAAAGCATCATTTTCTTCACTGCTATCAGTTAGTGTGGAGCTGCCTTCCTCTGCAAATGAAGAGCTGTAGACAGGGACTTTCATGTTTTTCACTAGTTTCATGGCCACCATAGTTTCTCCTACAATGTGTTTAGTTAGTTGCAATCTGAAACTTCACCAGTAGATGACACTAACTCCTACACACTGGTCCTTTAAATTGAATCGGATCAGTATAATCCTTACAATAGTCCTTTTAATGTAAAGGATCTGTAAGCTGATACAGTAGGGAACAAGTAACAGTATGTGTGTCTCTCTTAGTATTGTATCTGGACTGTCAGTTTTTATTTGGACTCACCAGCTTTTAATTCTGCTATGTTACCAACCTACTTAAAGTGCCAATAGGACACTCCAGGGCCTTTCTTATCAGTTGCAGGTTTTCCTGTCATTGACTGATACAGAATCAGTGTGACAAAGTAAATGACCTGACTTGTTCTTAAAGTATGTTTGATAGTTTAAAAGAAAACACAGGACATACTGACTGATAGAGATGAGAAGTTTGTCTATCCCAGATGCATCAGAGCTACTTCTATTCCCCAAAGGAATGAAACAGCACTGTAAGCATTGTAGGGAGATAGTTTCAAGATGTTTTTTAACCAGGCTACACGTCGATCAGTCCTTCTATTTGTTTAGTTTTATTAAGCAAAGCTCTTAAAGACAAAACGGAACATATTGTATGAAATATGTTGGTTTTTTTTCCCCACTGGGGGTTTTGACCACTTCAGGATTCCACTCTTTAAAAAAAACTTTTCCTCTCCGACATCTCGGCTCCATCTGCGATACAGACGCGAGTGACATATTCAGCGTAGCAAATCGATTATCTTTGTTAAAGGACATCACGACAGCTTTCGGGCAGGGAGACAGAAAGACACTGAGTTGTTAGAATCCATTCAAAGTTTTTTTTTTTCTTTCCTTCTTAATATTGACTCAGAACAAGCTATGAATGGAAGCGCCCACGGCCCTCTGATATAAGCAGTGCCCACTTTTTCAGCAGTACCTACCTTTAATCCCACGTATTTTTTGTGTAAAGTTCCCCGCCGTTTGTCAGCTCTGAGACTCTGTGTTGGTTTTGCACTGTTTCTTATCTTTTTATCCCTTGATCAGACATTTTGATTAGATTCTACTTTACCTGGATGCAGTCTAGTCACAACATGCAAACAAACAATATAAAGAGATTGTGAGGGAGCAAAATATGTATATATACAGGTATGGACCACCTAGACTGTGACCTGAAATGTGATATTTGGAATCAGTTCATAAAAATCACATCATAACCACAACAGTTAAGATTAATGAAATAGATCTAAGTTGCCATAAATCTTGTCATCATCCTTGAACCAGATGTTAGATCTGTTTTTGAAATAACTTACCAACAACCAGATGGCCGAAAGCATCTGGCAAAGTGCATAAAAAGATGCAATGTATCGTTATTGTACAATAACAACAGGTTTTTGATAAGCTGATTCTTTGTGCTCAAGGGAGTTGTGAAAATCCTCCAGCTGCAGCATGGCAAATCAACATTTGACACTGGCAGCTTTGACTTAGTCGAGAGAAAAAGATAATGCCAAAATGTGTTTGTGTGTGTGTCGGAGAGTAGAGGGAATATCTGAAAGCACAAACCTCCTTGGTAAGCCTTTGTTTCTCTATACAGCGTCAGTAAAGAAATGAATAGTGACTGTACATGTAGGAAGATGAGAGAGAGGGAGGACACAATGAGCCATCACATGTCTCCAATGTATATTTTCATGCAATACCGAGTGCTGACAGACCTCAATCAACCTGTCACGAAGCAAACCTTTGTGGCTTTTTGTATTCTGTCACGTAATTCCACCAAAACTCAAAGTTCACCTCCTTCTTTCATCCTTCTTCCTCAGCCCACTAGGGAACACACACACCGTCTTATAGCACTCTCTTGATCTCACTTCATCTTACACACTGACACACACTGAGCCCAGGGTCAGTATTCATGACACAATGGAAGAACTCTTTCAACTTGGAGTGAGCCAAACTTTCTTTGCCTAACTGTACGGAGTCTATACTGTGCAGCTCAAGGCCGGACTCGTGGTCTTTCATCTGTGGGTTTGAGTCAGAGTTGTTTTCGCTTCCAGCGGGGGTTTCACACCATCCAGAGTTCAAATTTAAAGGACAGGTTCACATCATTTCAAGTTTGCCTTAAAACAGCACTCACATGCCCACATCTGCATTTAAAGAGTTTTTCCTTTTGTCCATACTGTCCTGCAAAGAGATCCCTTTTCTAATGATTTCAATGGAAGTGAAGGTTCAGCAGCCTGAATTAGACACATCAACTGGATATCTTCCAAAGTTATAGTCTTTTTAGTACCAAATTCCTTCTTTGTTTGCCCACTGAAACACAAAGGGGGGAATACTGTACAAAAAAAAATAATTAAGGAAGATAACATTTGAACTTAAAGATCCTAAATTCCAGAATATATGAATGTGTTTTCCTGCTGGACACAAGATGTCTCCTACTTCACTACAAAGTCCATTCTCAGTGGATGTGCACTGGTGGATGAAGTTGTGTACGGGACCAGGACTGACTTCACAAATCATGCTCTTAGGCCCCGCCACTTAAAATCAGGGATGTCAAACTCTGCACATACAGCATTCTGCACAGTGAAGATCAAACAGCCAACTGAAGAAGAGAAACAGATTTGAGTGAAAGGGGACTTTAAGAATATATTTTTACTGAATAAGGTCTCTGGATTTTGTCCTCAGGCACTTACACTGAAATCGCTTTAGGAAAGGAACCCTTTCACGGGGTGGCATGGTGAAGAAGAGGAACAATTACAGTGACCAATAACTCATTGAATGTACATTAAGGGCATGAGAGTAAAATGTGACCCTATTCTTTAAAGCCCAGATTTTTCTGCAACAGGAGAAAATCTGCCTTTATTTATCCAAAACGTGCCTTGTGTGAGGCAAAGCTGCTCTAAAAGCAGAAATAAGTTCAATCTCAGGGGAGTGGAGACAAACATTGTTTTTGGGTAAGTAATATTGTGTTGTCCTGGTGACAAATAAAAATTATTTCATGCTCCTGCCACTGACATTTAACTCGACTGTAGCCCCGAGAGGACCTCTGCCTCAAGGGATTTCTAGGTTAAACTTCAGTATGTTATCTTACCGTCCAAACTCTCTCCTGCAGGTTACCAGGCCCCTCCAGAGTACCTGCTGCAGGCAGCGGGGCCTCCAGGAGCCCGGGCTCATCCAACCTCAACCGTCGCAGCCAGAGCTTCAACAGCATCGACAAGAGCAAGCCTCTTCAGTATGCCAGCGGCAACGACAGAGGTAAGCACGGCATATTATTCTCTTTAATACCATAATACTGCAACACTTTTAGAAGCCGAGACCCTGATTGTGTTAGAAAGATGGAGTTGGGTGAAGTTGATGGTACTGGAGGAAGGTAGGACCTATTTCACATTCTCCATCCCGACCACTTGGTGGCGCCACCGACTCAAACAGACGAGCCGAGGGCTGCAGAGAAGCCCATTCCCTCACTTCACCAGTGTTAACCAGTCTGCTGAATCATCCCCAGTTCTTTATTCCAAGTGAGTTATAATGGATGCCATTAAGTGGAGGCGCCGACACATTTTCACAGCGTGCCGAGAGAGAAGACCGAAGGGGCAAATTCAGCCTGATGCTCTGTCAAGCATGATGAAGCAAATGAGGGTGATTATGTTTTAGAGAGAAGGGTTTCACAGTAGCTGAGAGTTAGAGTGTATGGCAGTTTATTCAACGCAAAACTGATTGTTCACAAATAAATAGTTGTTTTAACAGCCTCTTTCTGTTGCAAAGAGTAAATATATCAGCTCGCAGTGTTTTAATTACTTAATATCTTTGCTGTTGGCTCACCCACTGTACCTCTAATCGCTTTAAGATTTCCTTTTGGCTTATTCAGAAGATTCATCATGACTCATTGGCTCATGCAGTGGCAATAATTAAAACCAATTGCTCACAGTCATTTTAATAATTAAAACCATTCCTGACGAGTATATGACATTATAATGGCAACCCTTTGCTTTGGCTCGCAGTGCAGGCAATCACAAAATGTTTTCCAACATTTAATCTTCGGTCACTGACATGATTTAGTCTGTAGAGCTGAGAGGAGCTCAGTGGGAGGTGATGGAGGTGGAGTAGAAATGCAGTCAGTGGCATTGGGCAGCAGTAAAACAAAAAGAAAAGCCTCCAGCCTCTTCTTTTTGAATCTGTCTTTCTCTCCTACTTTCAAGCCTAAAAGTTCGTGCAAGATGTGCACTCGGCCTTCCTTTTTTTGTCTAAAGCTTCAAACTCTTCAACTAGAGGGCCAAGGAAGGCATGGTGAGGAATGATGGAAATGAGAGGGTGGACAGGGAGTGTGTGATCAAGTGTTTGTAGCTAAAAAGAGAGCAATGAGGAAGCGGAAACTATAGAGAAACTGATATGTTGTATCATTCTTGTGCTTTAGTTTAAAAATCAGTCATTTGTCCCTCAGCAAACCTTATTATAAGGCATCTAGTCAATCCATTTGAAGAGGTCCTTTTCCGGTCCATTCACAGAGTGGAGTTGAATCCTGCCAAAAGACAAACATTGAGTTTGCAAAGATAAGACACCAGACGTTGGAGCCTCACTGCAGGAGAGGTGAAACGGTGTTTTGGTCTAAAGTAAAAGGAGAAAAAAAAAATCAATTGTGGGGAAATGTCAGCAATGCAGACAGAACCTTCTGGGCAAACGCAGGTAGTGCAGAGAGCAGAAGACAGAAACAGAAACAGGAAGTGTCTGCCACAAGCCATTTGAGTTTATTTTCTCTCCTACAGATAGTTTCATTTGCTCCTGTCATGTTACACAGTCTCTTGTTTAATCTTACATCCTTTTATCTTGCTTTACTTGTGGCTTTGCAAGTCTTTACTTTTTTATAGACAAATGCATTATTCAGAAATGAACAGATCTGTGTTCTGAGCAGATGCAAACAGCATCTGAATTCTCAGATTTGTCAAATTGTAAACAAATACAAAAAACACTAAATGAGGTTCTTCCATCGGTGGAACTATTTTTTAGATACCATGTATTAAAAAAACAATTTTATCGTTTGATAGCATTGATAGATACACTTTTATTTTCTTTTAGCCATAGTAACATTGCAGAAGTTTTTTGGTATCGGGACAGCTTTAAATGGAACCTTAATAACTTTTCATCAGTTTTCTGCAGTAGTTTTGCAGCGCAGCATAAAGCTTGACAGATGTTGCTCAGGTGTTATTTTTTACCTCAGATGAAGCCTGAACCTTGACAGAAGACAGGATAAAGTCAGGGATCATCTCAGAAGTGCATGAAAAATAGCCTAGAGAGCTTTTAGACGTTTGCCAATATCTTTCCTCAGTTTTTCTTTTCAAAGACATTTCTGACCAATTGTATTTTCATACCTCCTGTTTTATACAGAACCTCCAGTTTTAAAAGAACAATATGCAGTGTGTCTTACTGTTACAAATTAAAATACTTAAAGGATTAGATAATTTGTAATTTAAAATAAGTTTTTCACTTCCTGTAATATTTTGTTTCAATATCAGCCTGCCAACATAACATAGCGCATTCACACATCCATAATTAGTTACAAGCTAAAATGTTATAGTAAGTAGTAGTAGTAACCAAAGGTAATGGAATGGTTCCACACTGCAACTATGGCTCCAAACAGGAACTATTGGGAAGAGAAGTGTGGACCAGGATTCAACAACAAACAATAAATAATCTTCTTATGAGGAATAAACCTGCCTCCTGTATGAACTGTCTGCAGCTGAATAGGGTCGGTGTATAAGCCACTGTATTTCATAATGGTGGCACTCAGAGACCCTGATATTTTCTCAGGTGTAAAAAGTTTAAGAAACAGTGGCCTATACTACTTCTAGCTTCTGATGTACTTCCACTATGAATCCAACCACTGTGACATAAACAGATGCCACTAAAGGGGGATACACATGGCTGAAAGTCTTGTTTTTGTTTGTTTGTTTCCATAACCTTGGCACCTAGGCGTGTATGGCCTCATGGAGATGACGTGAACCCATTGTCTTGTGTCACACACAGTGAAGCTCTGACCAAAGAGAGCAAGATCTCAAAGGGCACCAAGAGCATTGCATCATTCTTGTTGCCATGCAACTATCTAATTAGCTTTAGCCAATTAAACTGAAGCATCAAAGGGACTGAATGCTGAAAGTTGGCAATTGCTCTGCTTGTTGTTAGTAGGGAGGCGATCTAGCAAGGCAATAATGTATTATCTGTCTGACAGTGATGTAATGGGGAGGGCAGCTAAAGTTCAAAAGCATTGTACTTAGAGTGTGACCAAATACATCCACAACAAGGCAGAGTGTGCACCAGAAGTGTGTGTCCATGCATCTGTGTGCATGTTATTTCAAACATGTATAACACACACTTATATCCAGACTCTCAGTTTCTGTCATCTGTCATGTAGTCACAAAAAGCATGCGTGTGTGTGTTTGTTAACAGAGGGTCCAGCACCGCCCAGAAGAAGTGACATTTCATTCCTTGGCCGCTGAGGCAAAAAAAGAAAAAGAAGAGTCTGTTGCCATGGCAACGACAAGTCACTGCGCGGTGAAAAGTGTGGTGTTGGCGCGGCAAAACAGCCTCGGGGGGGTGGGGTAAGGAGGAGCAGGGGAGGGGAGGGGGGGATCTCTAAAGACGGGGTTAATTGACTGGACACACACACACACCCAGAGACACCAAATGCTTGTAACCTCTTTCATTCACATTCATAAACTGCCTTGAGGGCCACTGCTCTATCTATAAAGACAAGGAGTGATACAGAGGACACACACGCACGAACAAACACACAAACGGATGCTCTCTCATCCACGTTTGTGTCAGTATCAGATGGCTGTCTGACAAACACACACACGAAGAAATACATAATTGTTTCTTAACACAAGCGGATCTGTGAGTTTCTGCTGGTCTCCTCTGCTGGTCTGAGATCAGAAGGGTCTGCATGCAGACGTATCTCAGCTTTCTAACCTGCTGCCTCACTACAGGAGAACAGGAGAGTGTCTGCCAGTTCATTGTCCTTTTTAAATATGCAGAAATAAGGTTCATATACAGGAAAGTGGAGGTTCTGCTGTTGTGCAAACACCTTTTCACACAGCTCACCGACACATTCAGAGATGACGAATGAGCACTTTTGTGCATGCTTGAAATATCAAAAATGTGCCTGCATAGATTTAAATCACACATCCACATGTGCACATTCTTTATGGCATACTCAGTAATTAAATACAGAACGATTTAAAATAAAGATCCCCTCTAGTGTGCAGGTAACTAGTAATAGCTGAGGAGTGGTAGTAAATGTTGGGTGTAAAACTATTTTAGATTTATCTCAGGTGTTTAAATGTATACAATATTTATGGCTTAGTATATTTTTAATGCTTCAATCAAATAGATACTGTATATATGTACAGATGATGGATCGATATGATTTAGCAGCCAGCTGGTTTTATTGGATTGCTTCCTGAACTGATTTCAGCAGGATATTCATGATGCAATCAGCTTCAGCAGCAGTAGTTGTACACCTGTTGATTGGCCACAGACATAAAATGCAGTCTATAAAATAAACACCAGAAGTTTCACAGAAACTGTAGTGAATTTACTCTTTTAGTGCTGCGTTAATGGTGAAAAAAGAATGTACAATAAATGCCTGTCTTGAATGAAGACATATGGAGCCCTGGCCATTACTAGACATTTTCTACACCACAATGTACAGAAAAGTCTCTGTCAGAGCCTGACAGATTGCACTTTTCGTTCCGGATCTGACACAGTGCACTGAGGCGTTTTCAAGCATGTTTTAAGGTTTTAGAGAATGTTGTCAGAAGTGTACGCCGGTTAAAGTCTCTCGGCCCCGGCCACAGCTGAAGCTGAACTCCCACTCCCCTCTGCCTGCCTGAAGGGGCTTTAAACTGCAGACTGGAGGTGACTCACAGCCAGCTGAACCCTGCTCGCTGTGCTGACTGACAGCCAGACAGACACTCAGTCTAATGGTGCATAACTTCATGCTGTCACTCTGTCACCCTCCTCTCTTTATTTCCGCCTCATCTCTAATTCTGCCTGCCTTTTTTGTCTCTATTTATCTGCCTCTCTTTCCCTCTCATAACTCGTATGCAGTCTTGTCTGTCTGTGTCCGCCTGTCTTCAGTTGTGTCCATCTTCCTGAAATACTATACTTATATCTGTCAGGTAGTGGATCTTGTGTGTGTCTGTGTGTTTGTAAGAGAGAAAGAGGGAGGGAAAGAGAAGTGCCAATGGCTTGAGTATAAACCAGCCAGGAAAAGTGGGGTGTGTGTGTAAAGGTCATTTCTTGGTGGCAGACACTAAAACATTTATTTTACACGCATGATGGATGTTTATGTGATGTGTGTGTGTGTGTGCGTG